GCAAGAAAGGGCAGGGGACCAGATACCCCTTCCAGGGCATGCCCCAGTGACCCACCTCCCCTAACCAGACCCCACCTCCTCAAGTTTCCACCACTCCCGAGAAAGCCTTCAGCACATAGCCTTTGGGGGCATTTCAGATTCAAATCACAACACGGACATTGTATGTGGTCATTATCATGATACATACGGCCCTTTGTGACTGGCTTTTTTCACTTAGCACAATGTATTTGAGGTTCATCCATGTTGTAACTTGCATCAGTACTTCATTCCTATTTATGGTTAAATAATATTCCATTGCATGCACAGTTTACATTTTGTCTATCCATTCATCAGTCAATGGGTTGTGTCAAAGAAAACCACAGGTGAACAGGAGCTACAGTTGTAAAAACAAATTTTATTCAGGAACAATCATAACAGGGGCAAAGTGAAATAGCCTCAACTCTGAATACAAGGAAAATGGGATTTACAGCCCACAAGTAGGCGTGCTTTTGGGAGTTGGAACATTACTAAAATGGCAACTCTTGGCTAAACTGACTTGACAAGATTTTTTTTTTTTGTGGTACTGCAGCTTGAACTCAGGGCCTTCACCTTGAGCCACTTCACCAGCCCAATAGGGTTTTAGGCTGAGTGCCACTGGCTCATGCCTGTAATTCTAGCTACAATGGAGGCAGAGATTAGGAGGATTGTAGTTCAAAGCCTGCCCTGGGCAAACAGTTCACAAGACTGATTTTGAAAAACCCATCACAAAAAAAGGGTTGGTGGAGTAGCTCAAGGTGGAGGTCCTGAGTTCAAGTCCAGTACTGCAAAAAAAAAATTCTTACTGAAGGCAGGCCAGGGTGATCCAAATGCAGCTGGGGTATGGTGGGGGATGAGGAGTTTGGGCAGATAGTGGGAGTGGGGAATTCACCTAATAGGATTCTTACTAAAACTGGGCAACACAAAGACAGATGCAGATGTCCAAAAATTGAGGTCTGCCGGGGAAGAGGATTCAGAGGAGACTGACCACAGTTTGGTCAAGGAAAGAATATATCAGTTACTGCCATTTTTGGCTATTAAGAACAAGTAGATAAAGGTCTTTACGTGGAATATGTTCTCAGTTTTCTTGGGCATATTCCCAGGAGTGGAAGTGCTGGGTTGTTGAGTGACTTTGTTTTTTGTTTTGTTTTGTTTTGTCAGCGGCATGGGGTTTGGATTCAGGGCCTCATGGTTGCTCTATAGCTTAAACCACTCTGACAGCCCTTTTTTGTGTGATATGTCTTTTTGAGATAGGGTCTCACAAACTGTTTTCCCGGGGCTGCTTTCAAACCTCAATCCTCCTGATCTCTGCCTCCTGTGAGCTACTGGTGCCAGCTGTTTTGCTTTGTTTTTTATTTTAAAAACTTTTTTGGCAGTATTGGGGTTTGAACTCAGGGCCTCATGCTTGGTAGGCAGGCACTCTACCACTTGAGCCACTCTTCCAGGCCCATTTTGCTTTTTTGAGATAGGGTCTTACTATGCAGTCCAGACTGGCTTTGAACTTGTGATTCTCTTGCCTCTGCTTCCCAAGTACTGGGTTTACAGGTGTGAACCATCATGTCTGCCTGTGCTCTTTTCAGGGACATTTACCTTTACATTTGCACATAGACTTCAATAGTGTTACTTGTTCCTTGATTCCTGTTAAGAGCAGGTGGGAAGTGATGATTCCATCTTGTAGGTGACTGATTAGGGGTCCAGAGTACTCTCAACCTCACATAAATTAACAGCTACCATTTGTATTGAGTGCTGGCTGTGTGCCAGGCACCATTAGCAGTGACTCAATGCATTGAGCTAATCCATGCTCACAAAAGCCCTATAGAACTGGTGGTAGGTTTAGCACCATTCTGAAGTTAGGAATACTAAATATTTTGAATGATGCCACACAATAGTATGACCTAAGATTTGAACCCACTTCCATCCCACAAAATCTTAAGCTTTCACTGGTTCCTGGTTCTGAATCTCTCTCTCTCTCTCTTTCACTGATTCTTGAACCCCTGATACTGAGTGGATTCCAGAGGGCCAGAAACTTTTCACATGGCATTTGCCACGGTAGGGTTTGCAGGACCTGCTGTATTTGAAATCTACTGCATGGGACATGCTTGTCATCTTTTAGTTCATTCTGCACTCTTCCTCCTGGCCTTCTTACTCTGCATAGGGTTTTCCTCCCAACCCAGCTTCCTTCCCTTCCCAAGGTGTCTTCCTGCCTCAAATTTCAACCCCCTCCACAGTGCCAGAATGATTGGTTGGAAACACAAATTTAGTCAAACCACTCAGCTCAAAATTCTCTACATTTCCCATTAGTTACTGAGTAGAATAAATCCTCAACTGTAAAATCTATAAGGGCTATAAAACTCTCACCTTTCCTCTCCCCTCCCACTCATACCCTACCACTGAGCCACATAGAACTGCTTGCTGGGCAGGGGGTGTAGCTCAGTGGTACAGCACTAGCCTAGCATGCATGAGGCCCTGGATTCCATCCCAAGCAACACACACACACACACACACACACACACACACACAGTGTAGCTCAGTGGTACAGCACTAGCCTAGCATGCATGAGGCCCTGGATTCCATCCCAAGCAACACACACACACACACACACACACACACACACACACACACACACACACACACACACACTGCATTACTCTTCTCCATGACATTGCCTAAATAGCCCTCCCTGCCTGCCCAGAGTGCCCTTCTCCAGTTCTTTCACCTGGGCAACTTCTACACAGCTTAAAGTCCCAGGTTAAATGCCCATCACCTCTTTGAAACCTTTCTTGTCTGGGTATTCCCACCCCTGAGCTCTCAAAGCACTCTGACACCTTCAAACAAGCTGTTCTATTAGTCTCCCTAGCCATACTGTGTGCACTTTGAGAACAGAGATTGGGCTGCATTCCATCTTGTATATTTCCAAGTCTAGAACAAAATAGTTGAATGAGTAAATGGATAAATGTTCTAGATTGGTGATGTCCAATACAGTAGCCACAAATCACACGTGGCAGTACTTGAAATGTGGCTGGTCCCAATCTAGATGTGTTTTAAGCATAAAATATACAACAGATTTCAAACACAGTGTGAAAAAGGAAAATATTTAATTGATATTTTATATTGATTAAATATTAAACAATATTTTGCATATATTGTGTTAAATTAAATACACAGTATTACTAAAATTAATTTCACCTCGGTTTATGCTTTTTTTTTTGGTGGTACTGGGGTTTGAACTCAGGGCTTCACACTTGCTAGGCAGGCGCTCTACCATTTGAGCCACTCCACCAGCCCAAATTTTTATGCTTTTTAACATTGTTAGTAGAAAAATTTTACAAATGTGCTATAAATTACATGTGCTGGCATCCGACCTTCCTAATTGCCTCTCTTAGTCTAAAGCACTCTCTACACAGAAATCAGACGGATCCTATAAAGTATCATTCAAATCATACGTAGACAAGTCTCATTATTTAAGACAGTTATAGACACTGAATTAGTGAACCACTGCTTCTAGGGGAAATCATTTTTTGTTGTGAGTGTGTTTAAACACATCTTTTTGAATAGTTATTGCTCATTCAGTGCAAGTTGAACTCAAAAGCTTCCTGAAGGAAGCTCAGCTAACATATTTTTTCAGTAAAGCACATTAGAACCTTCTTGCGCTTTGAAACAAGACATCACACTAGCATCACACTTGGGGCCATTTTAAACGGCAATGTTGAAACCAGAGTTTGGGCCCAACTCTTGAGATTCCATATGCCAGGTCTGGCCACTCGCCCCTATATGCCACATAAAGAGGCGTGGGGAAGGCAGAGAAAGGTTAATTACACAGCTCAGGACATGCCTTGGGAAGAGGCACAGTAAACACTCAGCTCATCCTCAGCCATCTTCCTAACACAGACATGAGCTTAGGTTAAAGTAGACAAAAGAACTGGGGGCAGGGGACAAAGGTAAGCATAGTTAAACTGTCCCAGTCACCGGTGTGTTCTGGTTGACCATTATCTCAGTCCAAGGGTTCTGGGAGAGGTTCTGGAGTTGTTATCTGAAACTTACTGTTACCTGGCAGGTCGTCCATTTGAGGAAGGTTTACTGTTGGGGGCAGTTTCTGTCCCTTGTCATGAAGATGTTATTATCTGTCTCTCCTGAAATCCAAGGTGACTGCAAAATGACTGCAAAGAGAATGGCTGATACAAAATAGAGGCAGGGATGCCAAGCTTCTCTTGTTTGTAGTTAATTCGTGGGCCCAAGAAGGAGTCAGTGCTTTTCAGAAAAAGCAACTTGAGCACCCGTTACAACGTCATCAGCAATCAGTACAAAAGTAAGAAAAACAAGGCGCTAAATAACCACTCCAAAGGACACTTTAGACTGAGTGTGCACTTATTTGACTTCAGCTAAGACTGTGCAGTCAGTATATCCGCAAATGGATGAGAAAGCACGGTAAGTATTGACGTGGGGGTTAGAAACAAATGTTAATGAGCAGGAGAATTTGCAAATATTAAACCCGTGAATACGATAACTAATTCTACTGCTTAAAGCTCTTCAAAGTCTTCAGATTCCACTTATAATATTTGCATCCTACTTCCAGCATCCTCGGCCATGAACCATCTTCACTTTTTTCCTAAACTCTGCTCAGAGGTCCATCTGATAATTCTCTATTGGGGCATCCCGTTGCTTTCCTTCGTGGCCCCGGGGTATTTTGTGATGTACATTCTGACTGACAGAATGGAGGCCCTCTGAGAGCCGGGGCAGCGACACTGCGCATGATGCACAGCGCCTCAACTTGACAAACGCGGCTAGGAAGCAAGAACAGTGCGCCATCCTTGCACCCAGGCCGGGGGAGCCGGAGGGGACCGAGGGCGCGCGCTGCCCGGCCCTACCCCTACTCTCCAGCCTTCCCCTCCGCTGACAGGCCCGCGGTCCTGCCACGTGCTCAGCTGGCACGCGCGCCGCCTCCCGCCCCCAGTGACGTCACCGAGGCACGTCACGTGCCGCACGAGGCCGCGCACTTCGCTGCAACGCCCGGGCGTCTGGACCCTCCTGTAGAGCCTACCCGCTTCCTCTGACAGAGCGCGACAGCCAGCTGCTGTGCTGCTGCCTTTACTCCGCTGAGGGGCTGCGGGGACGGTGAGTTACCTTTGTGCATTTGGGGACAGCTTCCCCCGAGAACTATTTCTCCCCCACTTCCCCTCTCCCCGCCCAGCCAGAAAGGGGGTTGGGCTTCGCACCCCTAAGGCCGGGATGACTTCGGCCACGGAGCCCTTCCCCCGCCCGCGGCTCCGCGCAGTGCATGTCGGGTGCCGTAGATCCCTTCGTCAGAGTGCTGCGGACGCGATTACGGACTACAAGTCCCAAGAGCCTCCGGGCGCGCTAGAGGACTACAAGTCCCAGAGGCCTCAGGGCACGAGGGGGCGGTGTCCGTGCAGAGCCCGCGGGCTGAGGGCTTCTTGGAGCCCCTGGAAGGATCCGGCCCAGTGTCTGCATCCCGACAACGTCGGGCGCCTGACTTTGGAGGTAAAGGGGATTGGGGTGGCGTGGTGCGGCCTTTCTTCCTCGGAACGGTGCTGGGTCCCAGGGTGGCCTGGGGGTTTCGGTGTTGTTGCAGCTGCGGGGCTGCGGCGACAGCTTTTCAGGGCTTGGGCCGCGAGCCCCTCGTTATCTTCCCTGAGGACCTGGCAACTAGGGTGGTCCCTCTTACACGCCTCCCGATGGTTCCTGCAAGGGAAGGTTGTGCGGGTTCCCCCTGCCCCCCCCCCCCCGCGGGAGATTGGAGAGGGGCGGGCGCTGTTTCCTCAAGGAACGGGGGTCTGGAGGAGGGTCTCCGCGCGAGCACCCCGGCCGAAGCCCGCGAGTGACCTTGGCGGTCCGGGAGGAGGCAGTCGTCCTTTCCCTCCCCCGTGCGGCTTGCCGCGTGCGGGACTGGACGTGGCTGTACGCGGCGCTCCCGCAGACGGGTTGGGGAGGCGGAGGGCTGGCCAAGTCTTATGCCATCCAGAACCTTGGCGGAGGTGGGTTCTCTGGGGCCTCTTAACAGGTGTCAAGGAAGACGGAGGGAGCGGCCTAGGATCCTCTGCGTCAAAACGACTTGGCATCCTTGTAAAAAAGGGCAGATTCCTGGGGTTACCCCACCCCCAGGTTCTGATTGGGTAATTGTGGGATGAGGTCCAGTAATCTGTATTTAATAAGCTCCCCAGATGATTTTCAGGCACACTTGGGACTGAGAACCATTGTCCCAGAGTGAGAATCAAGAGCCCCAAGCAGGGGGCATACCGAAACATCTAGGTCAGTTTTGTTTGCGCTCTGGGACAGAGTGTGGGCTAGGCAGTGCCTAAGCAAATAGGACCGCTCTCCTTGGTACTTTGCTTCTATCTTTGGGGCTGACCTGAGTTGGGCGGGGAGAGGTGTGCTAGCTCTGTTTGCCCACTGCTCTTATGGGGGGGGAGATATTCTCAGAACACCCCACCACCCCCACATTTAATTAGGAAAAATCTGAAACATACAGAAAAGTTGAAATTTAGTGTACACCTATGGACCACCACCTAGAATGTATAATTAATGTTTTTTTGTACCTTGTCAAGTATCTATCCAGTCAGCAACCCATCTTATACTTGTTTATACATGCCAAAATAAGTTGCAGATACCACCATATTTCCTTTCCAGATAGTTAAGCCTGCATATCATTAATTAGAGTTTTAGAGTTCTTTTGTTATTGATGTTTTAGCCAACACAAGCCCTGGGTATTTGGGAGTCTATGTCTATCTGCCTTCCAGCCCTGAAGATCCAAAGGGTTTGGAGATTTTTTCCACAGGTTGGGGCTCTGGAACCAGAAAAGACCTTAAATGTGCTCTTAGGAGGATTTGTAATTAACAGGCATGATTCTAGAAATACCCTAAGAGCAGAAACATGGAATGTATGGAGAATACTTCAGAGAACAGAATTGTTTTGAGAGGAGAGAATGCAATGTGTCGCCAAAGGCCAGGTGCCCCAGCAGACCATGCTGGCAGTAATTGAAGTGAACTGTCTGCCCGCCTAGGCCAGCCTTAATCTCTTGGCTTTTATTATTACTACTTTTTTTTTTTTTTTTGAACATAAACTTGCCCAGTTTGAACCTGCTGGCTTTAGGGTGTTTTCTAAACTCCAGAGGAACAGGGCTCGGGAGCACATTTGACATTTCACAAGTGGCATGGCTTTGACTCCCTTAGGCTCTGATTCTTTGTTCCATAGCCCAAACACCCATCCTTCACTCCACTCACTCTGTTCAATTGAGAGGGAGAGAACAGATAAACTATGAAAATTCATCTCTACTTTGAGAAACACTGTTTGTGGAGCAAGGACATATTTTTGCTCATAGAGAACACAATTTGGGAAATGTGGCAGTTCATAATGTCTCTGTCCTTTATGTGGAGGGTGTGCTGGTGAGAAGACAGCATATCAGGGAGCTCTGCAGAGGACTTTGGCCCTTAATGTGAAGGAGAGGAGGAGAGCCAGGCTGGCAGTGACGAGGTTTCTTGCCTGTGAGGGGCTTGAAAGTAGATAGCACAGGATAGAAATGTGCCCTTTTTTTGGATCCCTCAAAAGGCTTCTATCTCCATCTGCACCCTGTCAAAATTCTCTCAAATACTACCTCTTTGGGAAGAGGGGGGTTTGAGGCTGCAATGTATAATGCTGCATAGGAGAGAGAAGCCAGGCCAGTGGCCTGCCCCTTACCCCTCCCTCCAGAGGGTTCCCACCTGGGGAGATGCTGGGCTGCCTCCTGGAGTCCATGGCCCACTGAGTCTGCCCAGTGCCCCTCCTATTCTGTGAGTCATCAGACAGTGCTCTGTGGATAATGATAGGATTCTGGAACCAGTACTGCCTAGACTTAGGGTCAGTAGACCACATTGGAGGCCCTTCCTTGTGACTTTGAAGCTGGGTAACAAGCCATTTGCCTTCCCAGAACCTCACTCATGACCTCTAGGTGAAAAGCAACACCTAGGCCAGATGAAGAAGACCTGTATCCACTGTAAGCACTGAAAAGATTAGGGTATCTTCATATTAGACCAGTGAAAACAGTGCAAAGCACATAGCACAGGACAAAGAAGTCCATCAAACAGGCATGGTGGTGTACCCCCAAAATTCCAGCTACTCTGAAGGCTGAGATGAGAAGATTGGTGGAGTCCAGCCTGAGCAACATTGTCTCAAAAAACTTCATGACATTCTGGTACTTTCCATGAGAGCAGATGTGATGCATTTTTGGTAATATTGGGTCATTTTTTACAGAAAATATTTCTTGTCATCTTTTCAGTGCTCCTGATTTGTGAGTGCTGTGAGCACCTGCTTGGTGTGTCTGCTGGGTGATCACATCGTCAATTCTCACTGCAAGGACGTGGTACAGGAGTTCAGTAGAAGCTGTGGATGTGTTCAGTAAATATAAATGCAGTCTGAATTCAGATCTAGTTGCAGTGTCTGGGTTTTTCCTTTTAGAAGAAAAGGAGGCCAGAGCAGGTAGAGGTAGGTAGGGAGGGTGAGAGGGTTGCCATGAGTGGCATTGCAGAAGAATGCTGACCCCTTGCGCAGAATGGAAATGCATTCCAACTGACACAAAGTACAACATCCCTGCAAGCCGAGAAAGAGGGAATGAGATTTTTGAACAGGGTGAGGCTCTTTGTGCATTGTTCCTCCTTGGTGGGTTCTCATCTGCCATCCACAGAGGTAGTAGCCCAGCATGAGTCTCCCATCCCAGGAAGCAGCCAGAGTTTCTAAGTGACTTAACTAGGGTTTCCAGATAATGGTAGAGCAGGGCTGCACACCCAGCTCTTCTCCTGAAACAGGTTAAAGGGAAAGAGGACCAGGGAAATGGGCTTTCCTGGCCTCATAGTGATTATTGCTGCTGTTTTTTCCTGTTCTGGATTTTTGTCTTAAAGGCACTTGTAGGAGGGAGCCAGCAGACTGTATCTCAGCTGTGAATGTGTTCTGGCCCTGGGCTGTGGGGTAGTAGGCGGTTGTGTTAGGAACTGCATAGGCCATCCACTGAAGTTAATCCCAAACCTCATGGACTCTTTTTATTCAATAAACATGTACAGATAGTTTGGTGAAGTATGAGGTAGTGTGGCAGCACTGGGATGGATAGTGGTAGGTCCAGGGCACAGAGCTGAACCCAGACGTTCCCCTCAAAACTTTGACCATCAGATGAGATCGTGGGAATATTTTTCAAGCATGGACTAAGGAGGGCTTGCTAACGGGTCAAGGTTTAAGGGGAAAAGAAAAGTCTAGAACCCCTTTCAGCCATCCAGTTTGGTGAGTGGGTACAGTGAACTGAAGTAGGGACCTTTGGTGAGGAGCCCCTGCTCAGGAGTGTCAGCCAGGCTATGGTGCCCATCCTTTATGTGCTGCCTGGTGCTGTGGAGAAACTGCCCCCAAGTACCATCTCTGCCTTCCAGGAGCTGCAGGCCTGGCTGTACACTGTGTCCTTATTTACGACTTTTGATTTCCTCTGCTATGAGTGACAAATGTCTTGGAATGCCTAAAATGCCCTGCCTGCCTGCCTGCAGGGCCCCAGCCCTCAGACCTCTCCTAGCAGCTGAAGTCCCCAGTGGTTTTGACAGGTATCTTTTGTAAGTTCTTACCAAGGGTGCCCTTGCTTCTCAGGTGGATCTTCAGCTTCCTGAGGGCAGGGGCAATGAGGTGAATGACCTCTGTATAGACCAGTTAATTGTTGGCTGAATTTTGGAGTCAAGTGTCTTGACTCTGCAAATAGTCACTTAGAAAAAAGAGAAAAAACTTGGATGATGATGTCCTGTGAATAAAACTGACTCATGGTTGAACCTGAAGAATCCTGCCTGTTCCAGGGAGAAGGCCTCCAGTGAACCCTTCTCAGCTCTTGGTGAGAAATGAGGAGCTCTCTGGTGTTCTGTATCCTCCCAAGGCTTGGGCCTTAGTTTTTGTCCCCAGTGTGGTCAAGCTCAGGTTCCACAGTTGCGAGTGTTTACCAGGTTGACCCATTCTCTGCCCCTGGTCAAACCTAATGAGAAAGGAACTGTGCCTTGTGGCTGCAGGTGGTAGTCAGGTACTCTGGGGTCCCCTTCCAGAAGCCACCTATTGGTTATCAGGACTTTGGGGGACTGTGTTAGTACCCCATGCAGAGTGCACGAAGTGGGGACAGTGCAATTTCCCAAGCCTCCCAAAAGCCTGCCAGCTTACTCAGTAAAAGTGGGTGTCCTGCAGTGGCCAGAGGACCTAGCCTAGCCCCTTGCCCTACCAGCTCCTGCCCTCAGCTCACCCAGTCTCTCAGCACCACTTTGCTCAGGTGGTGTCCCTGGCCTTTGCATGTAACTTTTCTGCCTGACCTTCTCCCCACCTATGCATATGGCTCGCCTTCTCACCACCTTCAGACCTGGCATGTTCCCTGCTTGGCGACCCTTCCCTGTGTAGAATCACTCCTCTGCAGCACTCCCTTGTTTCTTCATTATTGTATCATTGTATGACATGCTTTATATTTCTGTTTTACAGGTTCCCCCATCCATTAAGACAGATGTTGTCTCCCATGTTAATTGCCCATGGAAAGTGCCTGACATGTAGTGGGTGCTCAGTATTCATTGGGTGAATAAAATCATATGCCATGTCTGCATTTCAGCTCTTTTGTCTTCCTAGTAGCTGGGCAGTTCTGGAGCCACAGGGTTACCGCCTGTGTGTTCTGGCCTTCCCTGAAGCGCCAGGGATACCATTGTGAATGCAGAGTTGAATCCTCAAGTGTAGTCATTGGGTTTGGTTCTGAAGTCAACTGGTAGAGCAAAGAACTCATGAAGTCAAACTGCCCTTTGAAGTCCTTGAATGGCCTGAGAGAGATATGGAGGGACCATGGCCTGGAGGAGACAACTGATTCAGCATCTCTTTTCGTTCCCCAGTCCAGCTTTCAGCACCGAAAAGCTAGGAGGTGGCAGCACTACTTCAGCTTTTTGTTCTAGGTATCACGACATCCTTGTAAACTAAGTGCATAGGATGGGATTCCACTGGCAGTGTACACAGTTGTATTTTGAACAATATTTTGGAGATTGAAAAAGAGGGCTGACAGTGCTGTAGAAGGAGCGTTGGGTGTGAGTCAGGACAGCTGAGGTTCCACCTCAGCCTGGCATCTCTAAGCAGATGGGACAGCATGCCTGTCTTCAGAGTCTCTGTTGCTCCTCATCTTGCCCGTAGAATCTCCAGTACTTCATGTAGCACCTGCCTTTGGCTGCTTCCTAAACGTTTGGTGCATTAATGTCAGCTGAGACTTGAGACTTAGGCATCTCTGATGGCTTATCCAGCCCTGAAAGGTGGTCTCTAGATGTCTCAGTCATAGAGAAATCTATACATGGCTAAATATGGCAAGCCCAAACATGTATGCTCCCATTTTCCCAAGGAGAAACACCCAAAACAGTTCTGTTGTCCCCCCTAGTGAAAGTGAACTCTTAGGGCCCAGTGTCATGTTTGAGTGACAGGAATTTAGTTATACTGTTTCACATAATGCATATAAAGTACAGCTTACATTTGCTTCCTACACTAGGGTCCTGGTGCACTTTCATTCCACTCCTCCCATGCACCTTTGCTGACATCCACCACCCTACAGGATAGAGTGCCCTTGGTGCAGGCTGGCTGAGCACTTGCAGCTGTAGGATGGTTCCATTGTGACCTAGGACAGGGCACATTCTCAGGTTTTCCTATTGGTCCTGCAGAATGCAGCTTGCTGTGTGCTTTTAAAGCAGTTTTGAAAAGGCTGTTTACAGGCTGGGCACTGGTGGCTCACACTTGTAATCCTTGCTACTTGGGAGGCTAAGATTGGGAGGATTGCCTTTCAAGGCTAGCCAAGGCAAATAGGTCAAGAGACCCCTATCTCCAATAAAATAGGCAGAATAAAATGAGCTGGAGGTGTGGCTCAAGTAGTAGGGTGTCTTGTTTTGCAAGTGTAGATGGCGTTTCTAAAATTAGCCAGCTCTCCCTTATCAGTCCTGCCAGTGGAACAGGTGCCGATGACTTGTTTATTCATTAGTTGTGGTTGCAGCTGTAGCTGCTTTTGTTTCTTTTGCCCCTCTTTCCCTTTCTGTACTTCCTGAAGGAGTTTTCTGCACCAGCAACAGAACATGAAGAAACAAATTCCCAGGCACAGAGGCAGCTCAGAGGGCACTGGACAAGGAGTGTGGAGTCTGAGCTGGCTTTCCAGCCAGGCCTCAGGAAAGCCCAGCAACCTTGTCACTTTTGGTTGTTACCAGGTGTTGCATGGGCATTTGGTTACCTGCCTTCCTCTGTCATGGGACAGGATGGCTCTCCAGGCCAGGTCTCTGAGGCTAGATCTAGACAGATCTAGACCCTCAGTTTGCCTGGAGTTCCGGGTGGCCACCTGAGAGATCAGAGGGATTCATTCTACCAGATGCAGTGAGACTCAGTAAAGGCTACATGCTAATTTGTGAGGGAGAACCCTCAGAGGTACGGAGCATTCTGTCCTGAAGGCAAAACCAGACCGTAGGCCAAGGCACCTTTCTGGATCAAGGAGACATACATAAACTTAGCACAGTTAGGAGCATTTTGAGGAAGGTATTACTCAAAGGAGCTACTCAGCTCCTATGTTCATCATAGGAAAACTAGAAGCAGCATAAGTAAAAAGCTTTTGTTTGTATTTATACGTAAACAAATCAGCCAAAACCTCACTACCCAGAGAAAACTGCTAAGTAGAATTACACCATGTGTGCTGCCTTTACTCAGTGCTGTTGAGCCCTCCTTCCCAGGTTAGTAAAAGTACATCTGTGTCTCTTCCAGGGGTGAATGCACCCACACTGTGGAGGTACACCATGGGCTTTAACTGTCCCTTTGGTTCAACATCAGGACAGTGATGCATATAAACACCTCTTGCATGGGAATTGTCCATGAGTTCTAATTTAGCTCTGGGGCAGACACCTTGAAATGGAATTAATCAAATGGAATGTGCAGGTACTACAACTATCTCTTAGAAAAGAATTAACCTGCTCTGCTGCGGCCCCTGCTGTTGATGCTAGGTCACAGCAAGTGAAAGTAATTTCGACAAGAATTCAATGTTATGTAAATGGTGCAGTAATTGTCATCATAGTTCCTAGAAGTCTTACTACTTTTTTTTTCTTTTTTGGGGGGCGGGGAGACGTATTGGGGTTTGAACTCGGGGCCTCTCACTTGCTAGGCAGGTGCTCTGTCATTTGAGCTGCTTCAGCAGCCAGTCTTAGTTAAAACCATTAGTCCTGTCTATCTTTTGATTTTGCTTCTGCTTCAGAGCAGCCAAGGTGTTCACTCTCTTTTTTTGTGCTTTCTTTTTCTCATGCTTTGTCACACCTCCATTGATACTACATCTTATCACAACTCTGGGTCAGGGTTACTGCTGCCACCATTTTACAGATAAGAAACCTGAGACTCAGCTGAGTATGGTAGTGCACATCTGTAATCCCACTTGGGACATAGAGACAGGAGGATCTTCAGTTCAAGCCAGCCTGGGCTAATAGTGAGACCCTGTCTCAAAAAGGAAAAAAAAAAAAAAAGCCAAACCTGAGACTGGAAAGTTGCAAGGCAAGGTGGTGGTGTGGGACCTACGTAGGGCCTGTGTCCCATTTAGTGCAGGGTCTGGTTGAGCTGGTGTCTTGGCTCTGTTGAGATTGATTGGCTGGGTGGGAGGAGAGCAGATGGGAGAACTAGTTCTGCTTTCTGGTCCTTTCTTTTCACTTTAGCTGATTTTGAAGTGTTAATTCCCAAGACCTCAGATACACCCATGTTCAAGTGTGAAAATAAAGAACTGGTTCAGGGCCATCTGAGGGAACCATCTCTCATTCTGTCTCCATCCGGACAGTGGAACTTAGGCCACAGTCAGGATTTCCCAGACCTGCCAGTGCTCTGACTTGGCAGCTGAGAGCAATAGCCCCAGAGTTGGGACACATTGGTGGCCCTCCCACCCATCTTAGGACAGCTCAGCCTTTGTAGGGCTGTTCTGAGACCAAATGGACCTCTGTGGGGGGTGCTTCTCTTTCCTGCTTCCTGCCTAGAGTGTAGGGAGTAGTGTCCTGCTGGTCAGCTGCAGGGAGTCCAGGTCTGATCACACACTAATGGGGAAGCAAACATTGGTCACAGTTTTGTGCAGGGTGTGTTGGAGAGGAGCAAGGTGAGGGTCTGGGGCATTGTCCCTACAACAGTGGATCCTAGGAGAGGTCTATGTGTTCACTTTGAATACTTCCTGTGTGTCCCCTTGCTGGGCACCTAGTCCAAATAGTAAACACTCCATCAGTGTTCACTACACACCACCACCATCTTCACCATCCAGAACTGTCTGAGTCCTAGCGAGTGCTAGGATTACGGAAGAGTAGCCTTGCTCCAGGGCCACCAGGCTGCACTTCTCAGGGGGTCTTTTTTTTTTTTCCAGTACTGGGGATAGAACCAGGGTCTTGGACATGCTGGCCAAGCACTACCACTGAGCTGCATCTCCAACCCTTGGTTTTCTGTCTTTTGTTTTGAGATGGAATTTCATGTAGCCCTTGCTGGTATTGAACTCATGATCCTCCTCCCTCAGCCTTTCACATGCCAGGGTTATAGGTGCATGTCACCATGCCCCGGTCAGCCCTTGGTTTTGTAAGTCAGGGTCTCACTATAGTCAAGGCTGGTCTTGAACTCACTATGTTGCCCAAGTTGGTCTTGAAATCGCAGTTTTCCTGAGTGCTGGGATTATAGGCATGTAATCCCACACCTGGCTTTGTGTGTGGGGGGGTCTGTTTCAAATAGTGAAAGCTTTTGCTGTGGACTGCCAGCTAGGGGATGCTCTGAGAGCGACAGCCTGCGGACTAGCTGAGCCTGTGTCCTGTGATCTGGAGAGAGTCAAGTAATTAGAAATGCTTAATGGGAGCATTTGAATTGTGTCACTTGGAAAGAAGTGTGCCTTCAGGCCTTAGTAACACTATGTATTTTTAATATTTGTTTTTCTTCCCTAATGACTGGAAGTTGATTTCTCTCTCATGTCGTTAGTGATGGCTTCCATTTCCAAGGTCACCTGTGGTCAAGCCTGGCTGCTGGGGCTGCCGCATCCATATTTCACTTTCCAGGTAGCAAGGAGGAGGAAGGGGCCCTAGACTGGACTGAGAGAGCTTCCTCCAGGCCTCCTCCCCAGTGCCTTCCCACAGCCTGGACACTTTAGCTTGCAGGTCTTTGGCCTGAGTTTAGTCAGGAAGAAGGGCTGTGATGTTTTATTCACCCTGAATAAAAGTGGGTTTTTTTGTTTTTTTGTTTTGTGGTAGTGGGGTTAGAACTAAGGACCTTGAGTTTGCTAGGCAAGCACCACCCCCAAGCCCCCCCCCTTTTTTGGTGGTACTGGAACTTGAACTCAGGGCCTTCACCTTGAGCTACTCCACCAGCCCTATTTTGTGAAGGGTTTTTTGAGATAGGGTCTCAAGAACTATCTGCCCAGGCTGGCTTCAAACCGCCATCTTCCTGATCTCTGCCTCCTGAGTAGCTAGGATTACCAGTTTCAGATGGGGTCCAGGGCTAGCCTCAGACATAATCCGCCTACTTCCACCTTCTGGGTAGCCGGGATTAAAGATATTTTTAATCCCACCACACCCTTAAAAGAACTCTATAGGCAAGAATATGGGAAAAGAGGTCTGGGTGCAGCTAGCTGTCTCTGGCACATACTTTATTAGGCTGAGTATCTTATCATTATGTTCGTTCTTTCCAGCGTGGCATAGAGGATCACAGCCTTGGCTTTATTATGGGTGGTGTTTACCTGCATAGTAGTTGATTTAAAGGCATCTCCCATAACAGCCACCACCTATTTGAGTGCCTGTCCTAGCCCAGACCTTTACAAATGGACCTTAGTTCAGCCTCATAAGACTCTCATTTTCCAAGTAGGAAACAACAGATTAAGGAATTTTGTCCAGGAAGACCTGTGCTCTCAGTACTTTACTGATGGTCAGGAAAGGACGGTGTCTGTTTTTGTCCCGCAGTGCCATTCAGAAGGCTGAGTGGTGTCTGGGGTCCTACAGAGAGAGGCCTAAAGCCTGAGGAGGGCCTGGGAAGCTTCCTGGTTGGCTCTGTTGTCCTTGTCCTGGGAGTCTGGAGACTGTACTCCAGAGCAGGCCCTGTGGCAGGGTACTCCAGTGCTGCATTCTGACCACCCCCAGCAGGCACAGCCACCTTCCTTGGACCCTGTATGCTTAGTGTTGCCATTGCCCTCCCCCACTTCCACTTTCCTGCTGGGTCCCCTAACTCCACCTCACTTCCTTCCTGGCTTGTTCCTAAGGCTTGCTTTGAGAGATACATCTTAGGCCCCATAACAGTGGTCCTTCTGTTCTTTCACCATTGGGCACACTTTGGGTTTCTGAACATGATACTCAATGCCTGTCTCTGCCACCCCACTGTATGCATCTGAAGGCAGGCTCCATATATGTGCTCCTTGCTGTACCTGGCCTATATCTGATACCAAGGACCAGGATTGGCTGAGCAGCTTTTGGAGAGATGCTGACTTCTGTCCCACCCATCCCTATGGTGCTTAGGAGACTGGGACAGAATACAACTGTGTGATGTTACCGAGGGAGCCAGTGACCACTGCTTGTAGGCCACACTGCCCACTGCGATGACCCCTCACGCTGGCCTCTACCCTGGCTGATGCTGCCTGTTCCAGCAGGTGGGAGGCTGTGGACAAGGCAGAGGGCTGCCTTTCAGTTTCCCCAGCAAGGTAGAACACCCTGCTCCTAGCCAGATGCCGGAGTCTTGCCTCATGGGAACAAAGGAGCCCCTCTGATGCCAGCTGGCACCTTGGTGCCAGGTTGCCACAAGGGGAACGCCTCTGGGGAGGGGCAGTGGCACCCAACCAGGCCCTAGAGCACGGCTGTGCAGCTTCACCCGGCCACTCTGCCATCCCGTCTGGGGTAGAGTGTTTTCCCAGGGATGTTGACCAGAGCTCCAGGCAGGTCCCCACATATCCAAGAGGAGAGGTGGTCCTTTGGCGAATTGCTGTACCTCTTCCTTTCCAAACAGTTGTCTCAGGGGTTCCCAAGAGGGTGTGGTCTTTGCTCTACTGGAAATGGACACTAAAGGGCTGAGAAGCAATTGGAGGTGCACAGGCACCAGGGTACCCTACTGCTGGGGATCAGACCTGCACCATGGCAGGACATCAGTGCCTATTGGAAGTCATTTGTAATAGTAATGATAGATGTTGCTTTTATTCAGTGTTCTTGGGTGCCAAAAAGAGTGTTTTACACTCTTTTTGATACAGGGCCTTACTATGTAGCTTAGGCTGGCCTCAAACCCTCAATCCTCCTGCCTCAGCCTCCTGAGTGCTGGAATTATAGGCCTGTGCCACCATGCCCAGCCCAGCCTGCACACTCGTTGTTTAAATCTTGCTCCTATTCTGAGAGTCAGGCAAAGGAGGAAAGTGAGGTGCAGAGGTCACAGAGCTAGAAGGTGGCAGGACTGGATTTGTGCTGGTTGATGGAGAGCCCATGTCTTGACTGCTTGCTTCCATGGCAGCTTCCAGTGCTTCCCTCGGGTGTGGCCCAGATAGAAAAACAACACACTCTGTCTCCCTGGTAGGGATCAGTGACCCACAGGCCACTCATGGTTCCCCTGGCAGTAGATCCCTGACCCTGTCTCCAGATACTTTGTATTGCACCGGCTTCCATTCCCGTGAGGTTCCTCCAGCACAGCAGTTCTCCACCTGTGATCTGAGTTCTTGGGTTCTGAGGCCTCTTGGGGCTGGGGGTCAGAACTTCTTCATTAATAACAAAAGTATTGGTTATATTGCCTTTTTGCATTTTGCTGGATGACGTTCACATAATGGTATAGAATCAGAGGGAATGAAACTGGGTTGGAGCATGGCTCAAGTGGTAGAGTGCCTGCCTAGCAAGTGCAAGGCCCTGAGTTCAAAGCCTATTACAGCAAAATAGCAGCAACAGAGGGAAGGAATTTCCAGAGCCTGAGCTGGGTCAAGGCAGGGGCACCCACCTGTGCTGCTCTTTACCACTACACACATAGCATGCTCCACACGTGAGCTAGTGTCACATAAGAAAATGCAGAAGATAACTCACAAAACCAGAATCTATTTGAGGTCCTTGATATGTATAAAGGAGACCTCATGCCAAAAAGTGAAAACCACTGCTCTGGCAGACCCTGGATTTCGAAAGTGACATCAGAAAGTCTCTCTGGGCTTTGTCCTCTCTGTCACCTCTGCCTCATCCCCCAGGTGCCCATCCTTAGTCCTGGGAGAGTCCACTCATGCACAGAGCCACTGTCCCAATGGGTCTCAAGCTTCAGAGTGCCTCTTCCCTTCCCCTTCTCCTCTGGACTTTCCTCCACAGGGCTTGGTGGTGTTTTGGCTGACAGGCACCCAGGGACAATAAGGCCATGGGTGTATGGTGGGCAGCCCCAGTTGCAGTATGTAGGAGAGTAAGCCCGGAGGTGTGCATCCTGCCAGCCTCTAAGGGGCCCTGCA